CCTTAATATTAATCGTAGACCCCATACAGTATATATATTCATAATCAGCATACAATTCTTAGTCCATTTAACGATATCCGTCCGTCTGTCTGTCTGTTGAAAATACCATACAGCCCACATTTTTTGGCGTAGACTTTCAAAATTTGGCAGAACAATTTGTATTGTGTCTGGGATGGTTGTTATTGAAAATGAGATGTGTCGGTATACGTTTTGCTATAGCCGTTGCATGTATAGGTCTACGTTTTCGTATAGCCAACATATAACGGTATCTCCCGATTTTCGGTGTATTAATGATTTTTGCCACATTTTCCCACGGATTCGTCTAAAAATTGGTATTTATAGTTCGTAATGGGTTCAAGCTCCGGTGGCGGAACGTGGTGTATGTAGGTCTATGTTTTGGCATAGTCGCCATATAACGGCACCTCCCGATACACCACACAGTGGTAAGGGTATTATGTCTTTGCGCATTTGTTTGTAATATGGAGAAGCAGGCCAGTTAGACCCACGAGGCCGTCCGGACGTCCGCTTGACCAAACAATATTTGTTTGTTTATTTGATGGAAATCGACTGAGATGTAGCTATAGCTCCCATATATCTATTTAATCCGATTTGGTGTTAAAGTCTCTCACATGTGTAATATGCTTTCCGCAAAAATGATCTTATCATATCAGATATCAGATAAAGCTCTGAAATAAGTGTATCAAATTTTGTCAAAATCGGTTCAGATTTGGATATAGATCCCATATATATCCTTATGCGATTTCAGGTTAATTGTGCACCAAATAGCGAATATCAGTCCTAATGACCTGAATATTTACATATCCGACCGAATTCAGTCTTGAAAGAAGTACTTTAAATTTGTGAAAATCAGTTCCGATATAACTATATATATATTTCATACGATTTGGTGCTTAAGTCCCTCAAATTCGTAATATGCATTCGACGGCAATGATATATGGTACCAGATGTCTTATAGACGTCGGAAATACCAAATTTTATCAAAATCGATTCAGATTTGGATATAGCTCTTATATATATCCTCAACCGATTTCGGGTTGATTGTGCACCAAATAGTCAATATCAGTCCAAGTGACCTGAATTTTGGCATATCCAACCAAATTCAGTCTAGAAGCAAGTACATCAAATTTTTTTTAAAATCGTTTAAATATAGCTATAGCTCCCGTATATATGTTTCATCCGATTTGGTCTTGAAGTCCCTCACATTCGTAGTATGCATTCGTCTAGATGGCTTAGATTTGGATATAGCTCCCATATATATCCTTAATCCGATTTATTGTGCAAATAATAGCTAATATCAGCTCAAATGGAGTGTATTTCGGGACGTACGTTTCCTCGGCTCCGATATATATTTTTATACCCTCCACCATAGTATAGGGGGTATATTAAGTTTGTCATTCCGTTTGCAACACCTCGAAATACACATTTTAGACCGAACAAAGTATATATATTCTTTATCAGCATAGAATTCTATGTCGATTAAGCGTTGTCCGTCCGTCTGCCCGTCTGTGGAAATCATTCTAGCTTCCGAACGAATTGAAGTATATTGATAAAATTTTACTCAAATGTATGTTATGTCTGCAGGACATTGTATGTTATGTCTGCAGGTGTTGAAAATGGGCCATGTAGGTCCACGTTTTGGTATAGCCCCCATATAACTGTACCTCCCGATATTCGATATTTTGATTATTTTAGCAAAATTTTTCAGCGGAATAGTTTCAAATTTGGTATTTGAAGTTCGTAATGGATACTACAGCTTAAGACAGAAAATTGTTAGTGCCGGTCCACGTCTTCGTATAGCCCCCATATAGTGATACCTCCCGATATTCGGGAGTTTGATGATCTTAGCGACATTATTTACCAGATTTTTTTTTCTAATTTAGTATTTGAAGTTCGTAATGGATACTACAGCCTATGACAGAAAATTTTCTGTGCAGGTCCACGTTTTATACCTCAAAGTCAAAAGTTGTACATGCAGGCCTACGTCCTCGTATAGACCCTATTATACATTCAGTATTTTTAAGATTTTAACAGAATATTTAACGGATTTAATTTTTTTGAAGATTACCAAATTTGTTCCAAATGATTTGTTCAAAGTTCGGCCCGGCCGAACTTACAGCTTTTTTACTTATTTGTTTTTCAAAGTTTTAACCCCTTTTTGGGATAGGTACCAAACGAAAGTGTTCATATTCGCCATCTTCACACCAGATCTTGTGTAAATAAAAATTTTGAGATGTGTAAAATATGAAGAGAATCTATTGCTTATTTCGCATTTTATGAATAATATAATCGTTCAAAATTTTGACCCGTTATGGGGGTGGTACCAGAAGTTGTGGATCGACATTGCCCGTCTCCAAACTCAATCTAATTTTGACAATATTTTTACGATGTACCAATTTTGGATCAATTCGGATATTCATTTCGAGAGTTTTCGTGCGCACCAGCTAGACAGACAGTCCAAACGGGCGGAAGACTCCAAATGTCCTGAAACCGTTATTTCTATAGGGCATGTTTATACCCTCTGTAGCCATATGGCTGAGGGTATAAAAAGGACAAAATAAATCCGTTTAATGACTTCCTTAGCTTACACTTTTTCCCTAAATTTTTAATCGGAAAATTTTCTTCTCTATTTTGGTTACTTAGAGCGTACTCCAAAACAATTCCGTTAAAAATATGTGGCTAAAATCATAATATCGGCAGGTGCCGTTATATGAGTTCTTAACTATCTTAAATCAGACGGTGTCATTGTATTGGTGTTCCACGTAATTGTAGACGATTAGTTCACACATAGAAAATGAATACGAAATATGAGCTGATGTGAAATAGTCATGTCAAAATAACTCCTAAAAGATCTTCACATATTTGTGATATTTCCTCACAAAATGTCCATGTCGCTAGGTTTTTGCACCAATCCCAAAATTCCCAATTTGGATAAAAATCGCACCTTTTTTGGGACCTCCATAACAAATTATAAACATTTTTAATTCTCACAAATCTCATCCGAATTGGACTTCGTCTTTCTATGAAATTGAAAAATAATCTTCGATCGAAGAATTTAATTCAAAATAATATGTATAATAATGAACTCTACCAAAAAACAATTTAAATCAGGGGTAGGCAAAGATGTCTGTGTGTTCACCAACACAATTGTAATAAGTAAATTGTTTTGAATTTTCTGCCAAAATGGTTTGAGAGAATATTTAGTTTTATTCGAGCAGTCGATGAGGAAAGTGCTGCCCGATATTTTTATGAATACACTGTTAACTTCATATATAGTTTTGCTCTCCCCAAAAAAATTAGTTTAATTTCAATAGTGACTGAGGAAGGTTCTAAATATCCTTTTGTTTCACACATATCTATAAAAAAATCTATAAATCTATAAAAAATACTGATTTTCGGCGGTCCACTTATTTATAATTTTTCATTAAACCATTATCTCAGTACCTTAAAATTTTTTTACGTCATTCATGTTATCTGGTCTCTTCCAAAATTATTTTTAGTTTATTAAATTGTGTAAATATAACAGCGATTTTTTTTATCAAAATATGAATTTATGCGAATAAAAATTGCTCTTCAAAAATATTCTTTAAATCCACGTAGGATTTAAATTGCTCTTCAAAAATATTCTTTAAAGTTACGTCTTGTAGGCTCTTCAAAAATATTCTTTAAAAACTCACGTCTTGTAGGCTCTTCAAAAATATTCTTTCAAAATCCACACCTTGTAGGCTCTTCAAAAATATTATCTAAAAACTCACGTCTTGTAGGCTCTTCAAAAATATCTTAAAAACCCACATATTGTAGACTCTTCAAAAAATATTCTTAAAAATCCATGTCTCGAAGGCTCTTCAAAAAATATTCTTAAAAATCCATGTCTCGAAGGCTCTTCAAAAATATTCTCTAAAAATTCACGTCTGTAGGCTCTTCAAAAATTTTCTTAAAAAACACAGGTCTTGTAGGCTCCTCAAAAATATTCTTTAATATTCTTTAAAAATTCACGTCTTGTAGGCTCTTCAAAAATATTCTTTAAAAATCCACGTCTTGTAGGCTCTTCAAAAATATTTTTTAAAAACCCACGTCCAGTAGGCTCTTCAAAAATATTCTCTAAAAACCTACGTCTTGTAGTCTCTTCAAAAATATTCTTTAAAAATCCACGTCTTGTAGGCTCTTCAAAATATTCTTTAAAGTCACGTCTTGTAGGCTCTTCAAAAATATTCTTTCAAAATCCACGCCTTGTAGGCTCTTCAAAAATATTATCTAAAAACTCATGTCTTGTAGGCTCTTCAAAAATATTCTTTAAAGTCACGGCTTGTAGGGTCTTCAAAAATATTCTTTAAAAATCCACGCCTTGTAGGCTCTTCAAAAATATTCTCTAAAAACTCACGTCTTGTAGGCTCTTCAAAAATATTCAAGTAGGCTCTTCAAAAATATTCTTTAAAAACTCACGTATTGTAGACTCTTCAAATAATATTCTTAAAAATCCATGGCTCGGAGGCTCTTCAAAAATATCCCTTAAAAATTTCACGTATCGAGGGTTCTTTAAAAATCCCCGCCTCGAAAGCTCTTTAAAAAATATGAAAATAGATATAAAAATAAAAAAGGAACAAAGTATTTATCACTGTGTATAGAGAGGTAAAGCGAAACTTTCAATATTTTTTTATTTCAAAACACATACAATCACAAAATAATTTTGAATTTTTCTGCCTAGCCCTGATTTAAATTGAACTTGGAAAATTCCATTTGCAGTCATTGAAGCCTTAATTATTCTACAGTGTACTACATACAAAAATTCTTTAAATATTGTTATTTTACTTATGAAATACCCGGAGAATATTTAAGAGAATTGTTGGTAAACAATTGAAATTTAATTGCTTTCACTGCTCTTCTTTTCTAATAGTTTGCCTATCAAGTGATAGTTTAACTCTCGTATACACACGTACGGCTGTAAGCTGTAAAAAGTTTAAAAGAATTCAACAATTACTTACTGTTTTTCCCTGTAAGTCATTAACTCGACAATGCAGGTAGACTCTGGCGCCCAATTGGGTGCTCACATTCACGGTGGTATAGGGATCGGCAAAGAAGGGGAATGGTTCGTGGGTTGTTGTCTCGGTTACTTCGAGCTCCTCATCCTCGGGGGTGTCGGTGAAGGGCGATGAAAATTCTTGCCAAAAATTCTTCGGAAATGTATCAAATGGATCTCCGGCTCGAGGACGTTTTACTGGAAAAACACACAGACACATAAACACACAAACAACAAATAATGAATACCAACCAATTAAAAAGAGAAACAAATGATTTTTTCGCAATATGTGTGTGTATGTGTGGCATATAACAATGGCTTGTGGTGTATTTGTATGTGTGTGTTGGATCTATACTTACAGGGTGTTGAAGATGAAGCAAAATGCTGTATTGCTGAATAAACAATTGCAAATATCCAAATATTTTTCGATTCCATATCTGAAATTGGGAAAGGGAAAGGGAAACGTAAACGAATGTTTTAATGGTTTCCATTTTAAATATGGGAATGTTATATTTTCTATGGATGAGGAAATTCTTAGATGAAGACTGGGTATCAGTTACACTTATTCATTTGCAATGCCAGTGATATTAAAAAATATGTTAGTTGTTCATCTGGTTATTTGAAATACGATTAAGACCAGCATTGTAATTTCTGATAACCTACCACTTTTCAGCACCCGTCGACTATTTATCAGAGCTAACAATTACCTACAACTCGTCAACATCCGATATTTATGCACTATGAAAGTATTGACAATAATACTGAGGAACAAATTTCATTTTTTTTCAATAAATACGGTGAAAATCCAGCAGATTATGAAAGTAGAGCTAAACCAGTAAGGAAAAGTTAAAAGTCGGGCGGGCCGACTACCCTACACCACTATGCATATTTAGTAGAGCTCCATATCAAAATAATTTATTTGAAGTGGATCACACCACCTATGAAGATTTGGCTTTAGAGCACTTGTAGTTTGGTTTCAGAGGGAACTAATATTTGGGAGGCATATCCAATTCTGAATCGATTTTCACTAAATTCACATTGCTATAGAGCGCACGATATCATTTCAAAAAGGATTGTATTAATAAAGTTAAACTGTAAGTTCGGCCAGGCCGAACTATGAATACCCTCCATCATTTGGAACGAATTTGAAAATTAAAAAAAAAAAATAAAATCCTTTAAAAATTCTAAAAAATACCGAAAGTAGCCGTTATATTAGGGTCTATAAGACGACGTGGACCCGCATAGGCAACTTTTGTCACAAGCTATTACAATATTCAAATGCTAAACTTAAAAAAAAAAAAAAAAAAAGAAAGTCTTAAAGTCGAGCGGCTCCGACTTTATGATACCCTACACCACTTTGCTAATTTAGTAGAGCTCCGCATAACAATTAAAAGTTTTTATGTTTTTTATAATTTAAAGTTCAAAGGACTAAATATGCCGAAGCATTTGTATCTTTTAAATTCGGACTTGTATTGAACATTTGGTGCACAATTAATTTGAAATCAGATAAAGATGTATATGGGAGCTATATCCAAATCCGAACCGATCTTCTTATTTTTTCCTGAATATTTTTGTTACGGAGTGCATATTACGGCTGTGGGTAACAAATATAACAAATGGGATGAACAATATTTATGGGAGCTATAGTTATATCTGAACCGATCTTCACCAAATTTGACATACTATCTTCTAGACTCAATTCGATCCTAATTCCATCCCATTTGGACAAATATTAGACGTTTGGTGCACAATAAAAGGTAAATCGGACAAAGTTATATATGGGAGATATATCCAAATCCGAACCAAACTCGATAAAATTTAGCAAATGTATTTCTGAGCTGTATTTGATATACTTTCCCAAATATTGTTGTTACAGGGTGCATATTACGGCTGCGGAGGACAAAAATAACAAATCGGATGAACAATATTTTTGGGAGCTGTAGCTATATCTGAACCGATTTCGATCAAATTTAGCATACTTATTTTCAGATCCCATCTGATCGTACGTGCAAAATTCCATACTATTCGGACTGATATTACACGTTTAGTGCACAATAAAAGGCTAATCGGTCGAAGATATATAGCTTTATCTAAATTTTGACCGATTATCTCAAATTTCAATAGGGTTCGTCCGATGGGCCAAACAAATGATTTGTGCAAAATTTCATCTGGATAGGGCAATAAATGCGAACTGTACTTTGTTTACAAAAATACGTGAACAGATTATTACGAATATCAGGGACCTAAAAACAAAATCAAATGAAACATATATAGGGAGAGATAAAAAAACTGAAACAAAGTTGAACGACATAATTTTTACATTTGTTTTTTAAATTTTATTGAATAAAAAAAAAAGTCGGAAATTTCAGAATAAGTTTTGGATTTGTTCGAATTGGTCCTTTGGCACGAACGGCCAATGAAACCGTCGCACTATGCCCGAATGTTGCTCTGCGGTATTTTGGCTCATTCCCGTCGAAGCGCTTGCTTGAGGTGATCGACACTTTGGTATTTTTTAGTGTCAACATTCTTTCTAAAATACTCCAGACACAATAGTCCAACGGATTGGTATCCAGGGATTTTGGTGGCCATTGTGCGCTGGAAATGAAGCGAGGAACCTCATTTTGTAACCATTCTTGGGTGGCGCGGGCTGAGTGCGATGGTGCTGAGTCCGAATGTTTTCACATCGGAGAAAACCAAATTCGGCAGTTTTTGGAATTTCAGTGGCTTTACCCCGAGCTCATTTTTCAATATTTACCGAATGGAATATTGCGATATGTTCAGCTCACGAGCCATTTTTGCCGAATAACATTTTTTTTGTGGAAAATGCTCATCAAAATGCTTTTGTACGCTTGTAAACAATATAATGAGCTGTTACTGGATTAATTTTAACAGCTGTTGGACGAGTGGCTTAGAAATGACAGCAGCCTAAAGTTAGTTTCAGGTTTTTCATTTTTCAGGTTTCACCCTGTACAGTACTCGATTTTAGATCCAAACCGAGTGCTGTACAGGGACAAGTGGCTTAGAAATGACAGCAGTCTGAAGTTGGTTTCAGTTTTTTCATCTCACCCCGTATAGTACTCGGTTTTAAATCCAAACCCCAAAGAAGTTCTGAGTTCTTTGGCCAAAATGTTGTCAAAGCTCTTTTATAGTTTTGACCATATATAATGACCCCCAATATTTTTTGATATATTTCTCAATATTTAAATTACAACTTTGAAATTTGATAGAGATATTTAGATTTCAGCTAGAATCTGCAGTACAGAAAGGTCCACATTGTATAACCTTCATCATATAGTGGTGAGGTATTATGTCGTTTTGCATTTGTGTGTAACAAGGAGAAGGAAGCGAGATAGACCCATAGTTAGTTCTGAGAATCTTCATAGAATCACTTATCAATCAGATATAGCTATAGCACTCATATATATATTTCCTCCTCACGTGCGTAATTTGCACTCCGTAAGAATGGTATTAGTTACTAGATAACATATGCATCTAGAAAATACCTGTGTTAAATTTTATCGAGATCGGATCAGATTAAGATATGCCGTATATTTTCAACCAATTTCGGATTAATTTTGCACCAAATGGCCAATATCTGTCCAAATGACCTGAATTTCGGCACATCCGACCGAATTTCTTTAGAAGCAAGTACATCAATTTTGGTTCAGATATAGCTACATTTCGTGTTTTTTTTTCGGAAAATTGATGGACAAATATTTTGGCATACAATGGACATAGAGATTTCTCTTCTTTCGTAACTTATTGTAAAACTTGATGAGTAATAGTTTTTTGTCTTTGACATCATCCTTCTAAAATGATGATTTGTTGGAGATTTGTGCACAAACTCACACAAAGTATTTTAATATATATGAATTCCTGGCGTATAAGTAAGATTTAGAACCTTGACGTCTTCCAAGATCTATAGTAGAATTTTATAACAAATAATTTTGTGGAATATTTTAAATTGCTACGATCCCGTTTAAAGGAAATTTTTAACCATATTTTACAAAAAAAAAAAACCAAAAAGGCCTCTTTTTGACTCGCTCAAGTGCTAAAGTTCTTCGTATTTTTATCTGCAATATTACCGAAGATACTATATACCCAACACTAACGGGTTTCGAGGAACCTTTATCCAAAAATTTCTAAAAATGTTGAAGAGGGCGATCCTGTCCCCTCCATTTAGGCTACTCTGCGATGTAAACTTTTAAAACACTGATACGAGTGTCTTCTGTTTTGAATTCTACTTTCATAGTCTGTTGAATTTTCCTCGCGATTATTTTTTGTGTTGCACAGTGTAATTTAAAGCATTCACCAAAAACGTTTGTCAAATATTTACGATATTTGAATCCCGTGCTCACAAAATAAAAAATAGTAAACAACAAAACATTCTGACGATAGATTTTAAAACTTGGCTAATAAATTCTCATCATAATTACTCACATTTTCCAACCCACCCTCGAATATTTTTCCTCAAAACCTTTTCAAATATGTGAAAATGTGTGTTTCATGCACCATTCACATATTATCTTCTCCTTTCAAAAGACTCGAAATTCATGACATTTGAATGAAAACAATTTTCATTGAATGTGCACACATATAAGAAAAATGCTTCAAAGCAACAAATAACGTTTTTGAAACAACCATAAAGAGTGCATCAGAATATTTACTCTGTTGATGATAATTTATTTATTTATATTTTATATAAAATACAAAAAAAAAGGGAGAATTGCAAAACAATATTTCAATAAATACATAAAGAGAATTTCACTTCATTAACTCAATCATCGTTGGAGATGCTTAAATGTTGTTCTTTTGTATTTTTTATAACCCCAACATAAAGACACCTACACAGAAAATATGTATGTTTGTGTGTAAGTGAATACAAAGGCTTTCAGCAGGAATGCAATTTGATATCAAACATGTTGTGGTAAATGTTGTGAGTTTGAAATGTGTGGGCATTGAAATAGCAACGAATTGAGAGGAATATTAAACTGCATATTTCATTGAGCTTTTTATATTTTATAACCAAAATTTTTGAAAAATAAGACTTGTGTTTCATAATATGGTAAAACGGAAGGTACCGTCATATGGAACGCAGTTATATTGTGCTACTTGTAGCAGATTAAGAAAAAAAGATATGAATCTAATCTTTGTAATTTGGGTATATATCCCCAACTCTATAAAATAAACTCTCTCCCTCTCTTTGGTCTCTCATAAGTCTAGTAATAAAGAATGAAGAAAATTAGTACACTTCGCTCAGTAGGCGGTAACAATTTAAAAGTGTTATACTAATTGTTCATGTATCACTCTTCTGCCCTAATACTATGCGCACATTACATTCCAAGCTACGTTTGATGATGACTTTGCGTTAGAGACCCAGATAGATAGTATTGTTGTTGCACAGATCGATTCCAATACCGACAGCAATTTTTGGACA